AGGAATTTCAAATAGTTAATTTGATACTAATATTGATATATTTTTGTCAAATTTTTATAATATCTTCAAACATATATTTTATTCAAAAATAAAAACATCATCGTTTTATCAAAATCACATAAAGTCATATTATAACATCGACTGAGATAAATAACAAAATGAAATATTAAAATCACGATGTATCTCCCTGCATTGCGCGAATACGTTTCTAGTTTTTAAAGATATATGCAAGTTAAGTATTGAAAAATATGTATTATCAAGATGAGATTAATAATATATAGTCAAATTATAAATAATTAAAATAATAATAAATTAAAAATGTGAATTATAAATCAAGATTAAAAAGACCGATTATTCAAACAATTAACAAAAATTATTGCTAAATTCTACAAAAATATCAGTGATTATACGAGTAATTATAAAAAAAGCGTTTATTATCCAACGATATAGAAAGTTTGATATATTAACTTTTTTTAATCCTAGAACGACATAGATTTCTTGAGCAATTACGTCTTTAATTATATTTTAATTATTATATCTGTTTAAGTTTTTACTTTATTCACAATTATTTAATAATTCAGTTTAATAATGTATCATAATATTTTAACTTTTAAAATATAATTATTATTTGTTACCAAACACATTTTAATATATAACGATCCCACGTTTACCGTCATCAACATCCAATATATGGTTTGTATATTTCAATGCCCGCTAAAAAGAAACGTGAACTTCTTTGATTTTCTAATATAAAAGTAATTTTGTCAGTTTAATAGTTCTTTAAGATAAACTAGAAGAGTATTCGTACAATGCAGCGAGATACATCTCGATTTTAATGTTCTATTTTATTATTTATCTCTGTCAATGTTATAATACAATTTTATATGTTTTTAAGAAAACTATAATGATTTTATTTYTGAATAAAATATAAATTTGAAGATATCATAAAATTTAAAAAAAAATATCAATGTTAATATCAAATCAACTATTTAAAATTTCTCATTTTTATGTAATTTCTTTAATTTATTTTTTTATCATAATTTAATTTAAGTTTAATGACGAAACAATTTATTTTTGGTTTAATAATATAACATTTTATAAAGATAATAATTAAGTATTCTGTTAGAACTCAATAATTATCCTAATTATATTTTAGATTTTTTATATTTAAAATGAGATGTTTATCTGCAGTTAATTACATGAATTCCGATATAAAACTTTAATAAGTTGTACTTAAGTACAATCTACTTGCAATCTTGAGTTTTAAATAATATGTATTAATAAACAATACTTTATACATAAAAAATAGTTTTTAAGAGTTTTTATGAAATGCTTTATAATATAGTATAGATATATATTTTTCTTTATTATGTGAACCTTTTTTTTCAATTTTTCCACGTGTCACAATGTAATTGGTTAGGTTTAGTTTTTTAAAGATAAAATGTTAAAAATATGACTTCAACAAGAAGGTAAAAAAAAAAAAAAAAATTATGAGACCAATCTTTCTTTTTATTATGTTTAAACCGTTAATGTAAAATCAAAACAGAATCAGTTATGATCCGTTAACTAAAGAGGTGATGATTATGTATTTAAAGATCGCCATTGATGATGCGAGTTCATAACGGTGACAAGCGTCGACTAAGATCCTACAACATGCGAGTCAGGAGTGCAAAGAGAAAAGATTGTTAGGGGGAGTTTTGGGGATTTAAGATCCTACATCTGCTTTCGTCGTGGAGAAGTCTGGGAGTTGTGGGGATTTTTCGTCGTGGAGAAGAAGGTTAGGGAGGGAGATGATACAGAGCCAAGAACAAGAGGAACGATGATGAAAATTGCGTGCTAGGGTTTTTTTACTGTACGTTAGTTTCTTAATCTATGCAGTTTTATTACATTTTGCATATACGGTAAACTATAATTTGAGGTCTCGACTAAAAATCAGGTGGTTTTGACATCGGTGGTAATTGAATAATTGTTAGGATGCAAATTTAAGTCCAAAATGAACACTATCGTAGAGATGAATATGGGGAGCGCCGCGAAGCTTATCGTGGATGCATTGTTACAACGGTTCCTTCCGCTTGCCAGACGTCGGATTGAAACAACACAAGCACAGGTAAGAATGCTCCCTACCTTTGCCCTTTTTTATTGTTCAATTATTTCAATATATGCTTGTATACATTGTTTCTTACATGCAAATATTCAAGCCAACATCAATGCCTGTTTTGATGAATTTCTGGGTGTTGGGTGGAGATAATTTATTGTTGTGAGGTGGAAACAGAAGAAACTGAGTGGGAGGCAGTTGTATCTGTTAACTTGAAATTTGAGTCCATCTTGAGTGCTTGAAAGTTTTTTAGTGATGACTACTTGGAGCAATGGATCACTTGGAAGAATTTGTTCTTCAAAGTTAAAACACTTTCATCCTTTTGTTTTCTGATAGACTAAATGTGGAAAGTAATGCATCCCAACTTGAAAGTGTTTTCTGAAGGAGTCTATACTTGGAAATTTGTGAGTTTAGCTGCTATGTAAATCACCATCTAGGAGTTCCCAAATTAGCCGATCTTCTCTTTTCTAGGACCATGATGTACTGTTCTTTAAATAATACTCCCTTCTTTTGATGTTTGTATCCGGACTCAAATTTGGGTTGCTCCTATCTCAGCTGTCCACAATTTCCATTTTTATCAAGTCAAGTTTCTTTTCCTGGTTCACCCTTATCGAGTTTGGTTCAACATCCATGCTTTTAGCACTTTGCTTTTTCCGATCATATCAAGAAATCCAGAATCTTCGAAGGCAACTACAGCAAGCTATTGATGAAAAAAATGAATTCGAGGTCTGTACAGGCTTATTCCGATCACCTTCTAATACTTCCTATAATTTTTTTAACCTAATCTGTGTTCATGTATATTCAACCTAATCTGTCAAAATTGAAGGATTTAACCTAATCTGTGTTCATGTATATTCAACCTAATCTGTCAAAATTGAAGGATTTAACCTAATCTGTGTTCATAGTTTAGAGAGAAATCGAAAAGGGGAAAAGGGATTTACCTGTTGAGTGATGGGAGAAGGCGGTTTATCGGCGAGGACCACAGTGGGAGACGGCGACGGTGGGCGACGGAGACGGTGAGCGACGACCACCGATGGAGGTGGCAACGGAGACGAAGGGCGACGGCAACGGTGAGCAATGGAGGAGCGATGTAATCTGTGGCGACGGTGAGCAATGGACGAGAAGGGCAAGAATGAAATCCCACGGGAATGGATTTCAAAATCCCGTGTATTTTCAAAGGATTCTCAAATCCATAGTTCACGGGATTTTAAATGAATCCCAGGATTTTAAATCCTACCATTCCTTCAAACCAAACGCATGATTGGAATGGATTTTAAATCCAAATCCCTCCAATTCCATTCCATTCATGCAAACCAAACGCGCCCTTAGGTGCTTTCGACCAACCATTGCAATTTGTGAATCAAATAAGACAACTAAATAGGAATGGAGGAGTGATGGATAATTTTCCTTATATTCAAATGCAAGCTTATGGGGGTATTCAGATTTCACCTAAAATGAAAAAAAATAAAAAGCATGCTATGCCAACACGTCTAGTGCACAGTGTTCCATACGTTTTAATGGAAGTTTGGATGGAAAGATTATTGAAGCATGTGAAACACTGACGAGTTTCAGTTGTATCACATTTTTGTAATGCATCCCTTGAACAAATGATCATATATTGCTATGAAGAGATGTCATCATCTCTCTGCAGATACTGAAGGTGCTGTGAACAAGTCGTATTCTTAAATATTGTTTATGATCTGCTTTTCTTTTTCATGATGAGGTAGTTTTTGTGACTTGGAAAAAATCTTGGAGACTTTGGATAGACCCTTATTTTGAGAGCATATATAGACTTTTGACTTCTGAGGAAGATGACCAAGGAATATGTAGAACATTGTTTGCACTTACTCATTTTGAAGTTCATTTCTTGTAGCTGTTGACATATATCCTGTGGATGGTAACTGAATACTCAGACCAGATGTTTTTTCAGCACTAGAAAACAAAACTGCTCACTTGTCCCATGCATGATGTTGCTTATACTTCAAAATTTGTTTAGTTGATCTTCTTGTGAATTTCTTATGTCTTCAAATTATATTTGGGGGAACTACAGGATGGGCAATACCTTCAGCAATCCGATCCTGCCTATGAGCGAGTGTTGGACTCCTTAGCTTTGGTGGCTCGACACACGCCTGTACTTCTTCTTGAAGCGCTTCTTCGCTGGAGAGACATGTGGGTTTTTTTCTATTTAATATTTATATATGTGCACGTAGCAAAGTATGTTCTCCTGTTTATATGCAAGAAAATGACACGAACATAAGATAACCAAGAAAATCACATGCACATCACATATGGAGATATCATATGCTAGCAGGTATATTTGGTCCTTTGGAAGCGAGCTAGAAGTTAGAGCAGTGTTTAGAGACCTAATTTGCTAAAGAGAGGCCCAACAATGTATACCATGCTTCATTAGTCCTTTGTAATACTAGCATTATAAACACGCTTTATCTCATGAAATTTGATTATGTTGTTTTTAAGTGATTCCCTTTATGATGTAATGTGACATGGACAAAATAGTTGGTTATGCCAATCGCTAGGCCCTGAGCCCCCTTCTTCGAATATCCCTTCCTATTTCTTCATCTTAGCTCTCACAACCGGTTTCTTTTGCAGTGAATCTCCAAAAGGTGCAAATGATGCATCCACATTCCAAAAAAAGGTTTGCATGAATCCATAGTTTTGTGGGTGTCTTTTTCTTAAGGGAAATTTAAGGATGTATTTTTAGAGTAATGTCACTGAACGGAGTGAATGATCATGCAACATTTTCATTTAGTATGCTTTCTTAGTTCAGAATCTGAAGATTTTTTATATTTGATAAGAATTATCTTCCTGATATCAACATACAGTACTTTATGTTTCTTCAAAAAAATTATAACCCCCAATAACATGAGCCACAGGAGAGTGGGCTGTTTTTTGAGAAACGAACTGGGCAAGCTGGTCATGTACTCATGTTTTATTACCACTTCTTCTGGCCTTGGTTACATGGTTGGCCAGCTTATCTGGTGCTAACTGTTTGGAATTTGCTTGTTTGTGAGAACGAACTTATAATGATGCTTTGCTTCGATCAGCTTTATGTAGAGTGCATTTTTTGCTCAGCATGTATTCGCTTTGTGCAGTATTGTCCACCCGAGGGACTTACAGGTTTGGCAGTTCCATTGTTAATTTATCTTTGCAAGTTAAGTTATTTTGTTCTCATACAAGATATGTTTACTGTAATTGCAGAAAAACTTTGGATCAGCCTTGAACAATTTGTATTTGATTGGTTGATCAATGCTGACAGGTAACGCGAAGTTGGCTCTAGAAGATTCAACATACCCTTCCAATGTATCTAGTTGCTTTATGTTTTAGTTCTAGCTGATGTAATTAGTACATTTTCTCATTGAGCTCAAGTGCCGTAATTGAAATGATGTCATGTGGTCTTCTTGTGTTTATTTCATAAAAGTGGGAGCCTAAGAAAAATTAGTTAAGGTATTCCTGATTCCAGATACTTTTACACAGTCCAAGCTGAAATCTATTCATTGTAGGGTTGTAAGTCAGGTTGAATATCCTTCATTGGTGGATTTGCGTGGTCTCCTTCTAGACCTGGTTGCACAGCTTCTGGGTGCTCTATCACATATTAGGTAATTGGTACCTTTAACTCAGTTTTGAAATTATGACACCATGTCTCGTCTTACGATGTGTTTACTGATCCCCAAGTGCTTTTTGTAAAAAACCAGCACATATTTTGTTATTTAATCTTATCATTGGTTTTTTCCTTTGAAGAATTAATAAGTGGGTTCAATTTGTCAAGTCGGTAAATTCCAAATATCATGCCTAAGCTTTTCTGTTCCTAATGGATTCATCTTTGATACGTTGTTTCCTTATGTTTCTCTATGTTCTCTTAGTTTGCCTTTTCTGGGAAACTGCTTTGCAGCAATCCATAACGGTACTGAAAGGCCGCAAAAGACTCACCAAACTGATCACAGAATCCCTACTCATATAACCAAGACTTCACATTTTTCTTGTTAAAGGTTTTATTGATCTTTCTTGATTTGTATGGTTTCTCTTTCTAAGCTACATATCATTATGTGCTGCCTTACTAAACACCATCTGGATTTTTTGAAATAGGGAGAGAGTTAAGTTGATCATGTTTATGGCTTATATATGTTCTTTTTCCTGGAAGTATATAATATTCATATACGGCAAACGGAACTCACACACATGCCTCACCTTTGGTGAGGTTGGAACCTTTGACCTCTAGAAAGGTTGGGTTACCGGATACCACTGGGCTAAAGGCCCTTTGGTTACTTCAGTTCCCAAACATAGTTCCCATAATTTTTTGATGAAGGATATAGACAACTCTCAAAACATGGTTTCTAGTTTCTACCTCAAATTTTATGACCATCAATATATTAGCGTAATGTTGGATGCCAGAGTCAGCACACTTACAATACTATGTCATAAGTACAGGATTTAAGTTGGAAAATTCTCACTTTAGCATCTATAAAGACATCCCCATTGTACTCATTTAGGCTGTGCAGTGATTCCCTTCCTGTGAACCACAATGACCATGTGTTTCAGGTAAATTAAGCTTGTGTTCCCTTTTTATATAGGTTGTACGTTGTTGGTGAAGGCCACTTGATTTGTTTGATGACGATCATAAGATTAAGAAACAAGCAAATGTTATAATTATCTTAGGGTATTTGCTAGTAATTATCTGATAGTTACTTGGATGACTATTAGGATTTATCGTGTCCAATTGTTCTTACTATCTCCAGAATAAGTAATAGTGTAATTGTTAGCATGAGTACTTTTAGGTTATAATATGTTGTAATTTGCACGACAAATAATAAACTAACTGAGTAGAAAAATTGAGAGCTTTCTCCTTGAGGAGAAGCAATCATCTCATGTGAGAAGCCTTGGTCTTCACGGGTGTCGTGCTTATTACAACTGTCATTCTCATGCAATCTTAGCATTAAAAGTTTAAAACAGACGTCATGAAGATAAAAATACTGAAATACAAGCACAATTGACGAGAATCAATGAACATAGTTTTCTCAAGTACACGTCTAGACATTCTCTTTGCCCTTATTGTCCTTATCTTCCTTTACGATGCACGCCACTAGTCAACTATTATCTAAGTGAGTTCATGTTTCTTCATATAAAATCATTTCGTACGTCATCTCATATAAAATCGTAGCATCTAAGATACCAACTCGCTTTCATAAACAACAAGTATTTGGTCATGTTTGCATACATGCTTTATCTCACTGAAATACAATATACATTAAAACAATTATGTTTACACATCATCTCAATGTCATGCTCATAAAGAGACCCTAGTGTTTTTTCTCTCTTTTTGGTGCGAGTCCTTTGGATACATAGTTCCTTTTATTGTATTTCCTGATATCCTATCATTTTGATTTGTTGTCGTGCATCAGTTTGCCTGTCTTCATTAGCTCCTATCATTTTATGCAGTATGTTAATCCTATTTGATCAAATGAACTTAATCAGCTTATGATACTTCTATTAAAAGTGAGAACTTGCATGAGCCTCATGCCATTTACAAACATATAGGTGTTGAAGAAATGGACAGTGATGCATGTGCATCAATTCATCAAATTACTTTTACATTGTGTTTCAGTAGTTTGAGAATGCTTTGCTTCTCAATAGGTTTAGTTCTGTAACTGCTCGCTTTTTCATGGAACTCAATACCCGTCGGATTGATACAAGTGGTGCTCGAAGTGAAAGCCTTAGTATCATCAACGGGATGCGTCATCTAAAGCTTGAGGTATGTGGCACATACTCTTTTTTTGTTGAAATATCTTCTTGACAAGTACATAATATTATATTGTAAATACATTTGTTGGCACTTTCCAGGTCAAGACGGAGGGTGGTCTTAGTGCCTCAGCATCGTTTGTGGCAAAAGCTAATCCCCTTAATCGTGCCCCCCACAAACGAAAAAGTGAACTTCACCATGCGCTGTGCAATATGTTGTCGAGCATTTTGGCACCACTTGCAGGTGGTGGTAAAGGTCAGTGGCCACCTCCTGGTGTGCAACGTGCACTTACTGTGTGGTATGAAGCTGTTGCACGGGTAAGGATGCAGATCATTCATTGGGCAGACAAGCAGAGCAAGCATATACCTGTAAGTAAATGCTGAACAGTTCCATAGTTTCCTTTTTTTGCTTTGACTAAAAGAGGACACCCTAATACTATCAATTAGAAGATGTATCTTGAATTACTATATCTAACAATATTGATGTCCCTTTTCCCCTTGAACTTTGACTTGATTTCTCTTTATAGCCCTTTCTGTTGTTGGAATTAATATAGGATTGAGATGAAGATGCATATTGATGTGTGAAGGGAGATCAGGTTCTCTGTATTGATTGAAAGAGGAACTTGCATGATAATGAAAATGAAACAATAACCCCTAACGATTTACGTATATGACCCCTTAACTATAGAGAAAATACAATATATATGTATTTATTTGTATATCCAATAGTCCATTTGATTCTCTTCTCTTGGATTGATCTTATAACTCAGACGCTCTTGTTTCTATATTCTTTGTGTTAGGCTGCTTACCCTTTAGTGACTTTGCTTCTCTGTCTTGGCGATCCTCTTGTTTTTCTCAGCAACTTTGGTCCTCATACAGAGCAACTGTACAAGCATCTTAAGGTAACTTTACATGCAGAAGGTTTAGAGCCAAGAACATGAAGTAAAAGAAAGTTTTATTTGTATTATTCTTTTCTTGCTCCATTTACTTGTATCTTCTTTGAGGGGCACACTACATAGCTCAAGTGCTGTTTTTCAGATACACGATTACACTCCATATTCTTTTTCCAGATGACACTATATATCTATTTTACAGGACAAGAACACCAGGTTCATGGCTCTGGATTGTCTTCACCGTGTTTTGAAAATTTATTTGAGCGTTCATGGGTACTCCCAACCATCAAACCGGGTATGGGACTACCTGGACAGTGTGACAGTACAACTTCTAACAGTTCTTAGGAAAGGGATGCTTACACAGGATGTCCAACTTGATAAACTTGTTGAGTTCTGTGTTACTGTAGGGGAACATAACCTTGATTTTTGTATGAACCATGTGATATTGGAAATGCTTAAGCAAGATAGTCCAAGTGAGGCGAAGGTCATCGGCCTTCGTGCTTTACTGGACATTTCTATGTCTCCCACAAGTGAGCATGTTGGCTTGGAAATCTTTAATGGTGATTAATCATTTTGCCGTTTTACTGCTACTTGTCAGATTTCAAATATTTCTTTTTGTATTTGTTTTGACTTTGCTTTTGCTTTGGTCTACAATGGCAGCTCAGGACTTAAGCCACTATGTTCCGAAAGTAAAGAGTGTGATTGAGTCTATATTGAGGTCATGCCATAGAGCTTATAATCTGGCTCTTCTCACTTCTTCAAAGACAACAATAGGTAAAAATTTTACGTACTGTCATATGTCTTTGTGTGTTTCCTTGACCTTTAGCTCCCTGTTCTGTGATTTAGATTTGAGAATGTAATTGTAGATTCTTGATAATCTTTTTGTTAAACGACAACATTTAGATTTAGTAACAACATACTGTGGCCTTCCTGTTTTTGTTGTGTAAATCAAGATTGCATCACTGTAAGCTGTCCTTATAGTTAGTATTGCTTTCAACTACTATATTCTTAATTTTTTCACCATGTATGTGCTTTACCAATTCGTCTGAGAAGTTCCAAGTTCTTAAAAATCACAATAATTGCAAAACGAAGTTACTGGACCATTTATGTCTTATGTGATGTTATTTGGAAAGAATAAACTATCTGAAAAAGTGTGCATATATTGAACATTGGAAAGATCATGACTAGAAATTGTACCGAACCAATGTGTTCAGGAATCTGTTAATAGTTGACTAGTTTACTTGGGAGACTAGTAGGAGACAATCTAGATAGAATATCTTGATTCCCTGTCATACGATCTGAAACACCGGAGAGAGAAAACATTAAGAGGAGTAGGAGTACTTGACCGTGCTATGGATGCATGAGGAGCAGCCTTCTTCTTTGAAGCACAATAAGACTGTTCCAAGTTGAGTTCCCCCTCACCGAGCTTGAAACTTGAAGTAGAAGAGTATGAGCCCCACTACCTCATGTTGAGCATTCCATTTCCAGTGCCCTAATTTGTGATAATAGTGACACTTGGGAATAACGAAACTGCCTTTGTTGTTGTGGTGAAGGCGCAGTATGTAGGTAAGAGACTTATATAGGCCACATATATGGAAGAGGATCACCTTGAAGAAAAGAAGTACCGGGTGAGAAGGAGGTGGTGTTAGTGGGAATTTCTGAGGCACGAATAATGAGCCATGTGACAAAAACATAGGAAACTATTTGTAGAACTAGAAGTACCATTTATTGTGGAATCATCATCCACAAAAGGAGGTAAACAAACAATATCAAGTGGAGGTCGAGGTCTACTGGGATATACCAGGATGGTGTTGTGAAAGGATACTGGTTTAGGATCTGTAATCAAAATGAATAATTTACTACCAAGATAACAAGATACCCCAGAACACACAATCAGGGGACGGGGAAGGATATAAACATGGCAGAATAGAAGAAAATAGTAGTCTGAGGTCTTTTCTTCTAAGAAACAGAGAAGGAATTGCTGTTCATGAACAGTTGGTGAAATGAAACATGGTTCAATCTCAAGATTACTTTGTAATTTGTATCCCATGACGACCAAATTGTTTCATGTCATTCTGTGTTACTACCTCTATCAGCAGATTGAAATTCCATTCCACTTGACTGTTCCCCTTTTAAATTTATATACCAGAAGATCAAGAGAACTTTGAACAATCTTTTAATGAAAACTAAGTAGACGGTATTAATACGTTCACTTCTAATGAAGTACATGTCCTCCAGATGCTATTACCAAGGAAAAATCACAAGGATATCTTTTTCGCTCAGTTTTGAAGTGCATACCTCACCTGATTAAAGATGTTGGTCGAAGTGATAGAATCACTGAGATAATACCTCAGCATGGGATAAGCATTGATCCCGGTGTTCGAGAGGAAGCAATACAAGTACTGAATCGAATTATGAGATGCCTACCTGATCGTTGCTTTGCAGTTATAAGAGCTATGGTGAAATTCATCCTACGGCTTCCGGATGAGTTCCCTCTTCTCATTCAAACATCATTGGGACGCCTTTTGGAACTCTTGCATTTATGGAGAGCTTGTCTATCTGACCATAGTGTTGAACAGGAAACTTCAGATGCAAAACATGTGCAGATAAACCAAAGCTTCAAGAGATCTTTCAACCCAAGAGAACCAGTTGAATTCCATGCTTCAGAGATTGATGCAATTGGTCTTGTCTTCCTTAGTTCTGCTGATAGTCAGATTAGGCACACAGCATTAGAGTTGCTACGCTGTGCGCGTGCTATTCAAAATGATATAGAAAACCTTCTATCATGTGAGAGGTCATATCTCACCAAAGATGAAGCTGAACTGATACTTATGATTGATGTTTTTGAGGAAAATGGGGTGTGTTCTCCTTATGACCTATCTCATTGACTTTGTTTCCTGATTCTATCCTTTGATAAAATGTTCTCCTTTATGCTGCTTGTTTTATATGTTAAATCCTATTCATGTGAAACATTAATGTAGAAACCCCTACTTTTTGACAGGATGACATTGTTCAGAGCTGCTATTGGGATTCCAGTCGTCCTTTCGATCTCAGACGAGAATCTGACGTGGTACCTCCTGATGTAACACTAGAGGCTATACTTACTGAAAGCCAGGATAAGAATAGATGGCCTCGGTGTCTTAGTGAGCTTGTCAAGTATGGTGCAGAGCTCTGCCCACGTGCTGTTCAGGAAGCAAAGTAATCAAAACTTCTCCAACGTTTATTTTATTCTGCCTTTTCTCTGGATTTTCTTTTGCATTTATATCATTATCATGTGAAGCAAGATGGTAAGCAGTCAGCTCGACAATCCCATCAGCAAGCACCTTCCAGGGATGTTGTAGAACAAATTTTCTTCTCCGTTTTACATCTATTTTGTGAAGGATCGAAGTGACTACCGCTAAAAATTTGTGCTATGACTGTTCACCATCTACTCCCCCTGTATCATATTGTTATTGCTGTTCTTTTTTATTTTCTCCTCAATTACAGTTTTATTTTCTAAGTTCCCATCTGAGGTATATATCAATCGTTTTGAATAGGTGTTTTCTGTGTAATGAAAGGGTAATACAAACTTGATCCTAAATTCTAATGTAAATCTCCACCATAGAAGTTACAAAAATGTGCAGTCAACAACTACTTTAGGATGATAACTCAAGGATCAACTTCTTTTCCTTATTTCCCTTGCCTTTTCTGTGCCATCTTTACTAATTAAGTTGTCTAGTTTCATGTTTATTTGAACCTGGAGTGGGCAACATTCAGATCAAGATATTTATAATCTCAGGCTAGAGATTACTAAGCGTCTTGCGCTTGTCACACCTGTTGAATTGGGGGGAAAGGCTTCTCAGTTTCAGGATGCAGATAACAAACTAGATCAGTGGCTCATGTATGCTGTATTTGCTTGTTCTTGTCCACCTGGAAGGGAAGGAGCTGGTGCAGCAGCAACACGAGAACTATTCCATCTTATCATCCCCTCACTAAAATCTGGTTCTGAAGCACATGTGGTGAGTATTAGCCAGTAACTTTATATATATACATATATATAACGAAGTAAAAGTAAAAAAAAACTTTTCACGCATTATACAGTGCAGCGGCTCAAACTCTATAGGAATGATAGATATGTGGCAAACTGATTAAACTTTCTATTGGGTTTCAGCATGATACTACTATGGCTCTTGGGCTCTCGCATCTGGAAGTGTGTGAAATAATGTTCAGTGAGCTGGCATCCTATATAGATGAAATTTCTTTGGAAACAGAAGGAAAACCGAAATGGAAGGTATGGGTTCATGCTTTCTTCTGAACTCACTTTCTCACCAATAGGTAAGTCTTTTGATAAATTACTTAATTTCCTAGGAGGCTCCCCCCAACACGCACAAAAGACCAATTTTTGTCTGAGCAGCTCACTATTACTTATACTGTAAATAGTTGCAACTTGCAAGTTTGTTACTTAAGATACAAATGGGTCTGCCTATATAGAGACATACCCACACATGCATATATTGCATTTTGTGCGATTTGCTTTGAGATTGATGGTACTTTGAATCATGCATTTTCATTTTGTTTCAACATATTTAACTATCTTATTTCTGTTGATGCAGAGTCAACAATATTGGGTGAAGCAACCATAATGATGCATTTTCCTTTTTTTCCCACCATAATTAAGTATCTTATTTCTGTTAATGCAGTCTCAAAAATCTCGCCGTGAAGAACTCCGTATCCACATTGCAAACGTATACAGAACTGTTGCAGGGAACATCTGGCCTGGCATGCTGATCCATAAGCCAGTTTTCCGTCTTCACTATTTGAAATATATTGATGAAACAACCAGATTAATATCAACAGTCCCTCTTGAGAACTTTCAAGAGATGCAAACTCTTCGCTATGCACTTGCATGTGTACTAAGATCACTGGCCCCTGAGTTTGTGGATTCAAAATCAGAAAAATTTGATCCTAAAACCAGAAAGCGATTGTTTGATCTTTTTCTCTCCTGGGGTGATGATGTGGGTAATACATGGAGTCAGGATGGCCTAAGTGATTATCGGCGTGAAGTTGAACGCTACAAGTCTAGTCGTAAAACTCGATCAAAAGATTCCATAGACAGAAGTTCATTTGACAAAGAAGTGTCTGAACAAGTCGAAGCAGTACAATGGGCTTCCATGAATTCTATGGCATCGTTGTTATATGGCCCTTGTTTTGATTTCGACAATGCAAGAAAAATGAGTGGCCGGATTATATATTGGATTAACAGTCTCTTCATTGAGTCTGCACCCAGGGCTCCCTTTGGTTATTCACCCACTGATCCAAGAGCTCCATTTTATTCTAAACACACTGGATGTGATAAGAGCAAAGTTGGTCACCTTCGTGTTTCCCTTGCTAAAATAGCTTTAAAGAATCTTATTCTTACAAATTTAGACCTGTTTCCTGCTTGCATTGACCAGGTAAGACATCTCTTTGCAAACTTTCATTACTTTGTAATCAGTACACATAGCTTTATCACCTTTGAGCTATTTGGTGCTGTTATATTCCAGGAAGAGGTTAACACATTGGGAAATTTTTTCCACTTTGACCACCAGAATCCCCTGAATTCTTAACTTTAGGATTTATGTGCCTACATCGTCTCCTGCGAAAATGTAAACTTTTAATGATCCAATACTCTTAACTTCCCAATCAAAATTTACTTTTTAAGCTGCAAAACAAGAAGAAAAAAGAGCATCTTTAGGAATTCTAATATACTTGCAATTGTCATCATGGTCATGGTCATGATGGTCACCTCTGCCATTGGTATTGTCATTATTATTTGCTATTTCACATGTCAAAAAATCAAAAGATAGGGTTCATTATGGATAACATGAACTAGATTTTCTTACGGTTGTTGAAGAAATCACCTAAGCTGAATCAACTATTTTTACTTTCTTTTTATTTGAGATTTTCTAATGAAATTATATTCGTTACATCATTTAATTTGTGGTAGTATGTTTTTTGCAGCAACTGTTTCTAGTCCATGTCAGATATTTGAAGACTGTAAACCTTAAATATTTACAAATATATTATTGCAGAGCTCATCATCTAGTTGCTATTTTTTGAAGTATATAATATTTATATACGGCAAAGACTCGCACACCCCTCACCTTTGGTGAGGTTTGATCCACCTCCTGGGAGGGTGGGATCTACCGCTAAACCGAATACCAGTGGGCCAATGACCCTTTGGTTTTCTAGTTGCTGTTCTTGTCCCCGTTTATATATGCGTATGTAACTACAGTTTTGTTACTTAGGAAATATGATATTTTATGGATGTTCTGCTATAATCTGATCTTCCTGCGTACTTGACAAAATTTCCGTGAAAACAAACAATTAATTTGTTCTGTTTGCTTCTGTTACATACATGACAGAGAGGAAGTATGTACCATCTTTCACTTCTATTTACTTTGACATCATCAGCAACCTCTGTAGTGCTGATCCCCTTATTTGCACGACAAGTAGGATATAATTAGTTTTATTAACAAAGGCGTGGGATGTATCAAGTCTTGATGCTATTAGTTTGCTCAAATAATTGGGTGTCTGATGGCTTGTTTCTTATACTTGAGATTTACATTTGATGCTGTATTATTTTGTATATTCCACACTTTTACGCATATATCAGCTTTTCTGGGCATTATCACCGTGTTGAGCCATATGGGTATATCTTGATCTAAAAGTCTGTCTTCCTGGTATCTTAGTTAATATATCGTATCAATTGGTTATGATAAGTAAAATCTTCTTTCTTCTTCAGTGCTACTATTCTGATGCTGGCGTGGCAAATGGGTACTTCAGTGTATTAGCTGAAGTCTACACGCATCAAGAGATACCTAATTGTGAAATCCAACGACTCTTGAGCTTGATTCTCTACAAGGTGGTGGACCCATCTAGACAGGTTCGTGATGATGCCCTACGGATGCTTGAGACACTATCTATCCGTGAGTGGGCTGAAGATGGGGTTGAGGGATCAGGAAGTTATCGGGCTGCAGTGGTTGGAAATCTTCCCGACTCTTACCAACAATTCCAATACAAATTATCTTGCAAGCTTGCTAAAGATCGTCCTGAGCTGAGCCAGCTTCTTTGTGAGGAAATAATGCAGAGGCAACTGGATGCAGTTGATATAATTGCACAGCACCAAGTTCTAACATGCATGGCTCCTTGGATTGAAAACCTTGATTTCTGGAAACTCCAAAATTCAGGCTGGAGGGAAAGATTATTGAAAAGCCTTTACTATGTAACATGGAGGCATGGCGATCAGTTTCCTGATGAAATTGAGAAGCTTTGGAGCACTATTGCTAGTAAGCCGCGTAATATCCGTCCAATTCTTGATTTTTTGATCACTAAAGGAATTGAAGATTGTGATTCAAATGCATCAGCAGAAATAAGTGGTGCATTTGCTACATACTTCACAGTTGCTAAACGAGTAAGCTTATATCTAGCTCGAATTTGTCCACAAGGTACAATTGACCACTTGGTTTACCAATTGGCACAGCGAATGCTTGAGGATAGCCTGGAACCTTTCAGACCAACAGCAAACGAGGGTGATCTCAATGGAGATTTTGTTTTGGAATTTTCTCAGGGTTCAGAAACAGCGCAGCTTGCGCGGCTTGCGTCTGTTATAGATAACCAGCCTCGTATGTCACCCTTACTGGTTCGAGGATCTCTTGATGGTCTACTACGAAATACAAGTGGAAACTTAAGTTGGAAAACAACAGCTGTAAGAGGGCGAAGTGCTTCAGGAACTTTGATCCCCATACCTCCTGAGATAAATGTTACTCCTGTAACTGCTGGACGATCTAGCCAGCTCATTCCATCTCTAGTAAACATGTCAGTCCCATTAATGGGGATCCGAACTTCAGCAGGAAATTCAAGAAGCCGGCATATTTCTCGAGACAGTGGGGACTACCTCATTGACACTCCAAATTCTGAAGCAGATGGTCTGCATTCTGCTAGTGGAACTCATGGTGTCAGCGCTAAAGAACTGCACAGAGCCTTACAGGGGCATCCACAGCATTCATTAACCCATGCTGATATTGCGCTGATTCTACTTGCAGAAATCGCTTATGAAAACGATGAAGATTTTCGGGAGCACTTACCTTTACTTTTTCATGTCACGTTTGTCTCAATGGATAGCTCTGAAGACATTGTGCTAGAACACTGCCAACAGTTGCTTGTTAATCTGCTGTATTCTCTTGCTGGGCGTCATCTGGAACTTTACAATGTTGAAAACAGTGATGGAGAGAACAGGCAACAGGTTGCGAGCCTGATTAAGTACGTCCAATCGAAACGAGGGAGCATGATGTGGGAAAATGAGGACCCGACGCTCGTGAAAATCGAGCTCCCGAGCGCCGCGCTTTTGTCCGCGCTCGTGCAGAGCATGGTGGATGCAATCTTCTTCCAGGGTGACCTCCGAGAAACTTGGGGAGCCGAGGCGCTCAAGTGGGCCATGGAGTGCACCTCGAGACACCTTTCGTGTCGGTCCCACCAAATCTACCGAGCGTTGCGGCCCCGTGTGACGAACGACGCTTGTGTCTCGCTTCTCTGGTGCCTCCATCGTTGCCTAGCGAATCCCGTACCTTCGGTTTTGGGGTTTGTTATGGAGATCCTTTTGACATTGCAAGTGATGGTCGAAAATATGGAGCCTGAAAAGGTGATATTATACCCCCAGCTTTTCTGGGGTTGTGTCGCTATGATGCACACCGATTTTGTCCACGTGTACTGTCAGGTACTCGAGCTCTTTTCTCGTGTTATTGACCGTTTATCGTTTCGTGACAAAACAACCGAAAACGTTCTCCTCTCGAGCATGCCACGAGACGAGCTCGATCATAGTGTTGCTGACACCGACTTCCAGAGACTCGAGCCACAGAACCCTGGTGTAACCTCACCATCGAGCGGGAAAGTCCCGGCTTTCGAAGGGGTCCAGCCGCTCGTACTTAAAGGACTCATGTCAACCGTGAGTCATGATATCTCAATCGAGGTTCTCTCAAGGATAACCATACACTCTTGTGATTCAATCTTCGGGGACCCAGAGACAAGACTTTTGATGCACATCACGGGCTTGCTTCCCTGGCTCTGCTTACATCTAAACCCGGAGGCGGTTGTGGGCCCTACTTCGCCTCTATTACAACAACACCAAAAGGCTCGCTCAGTTTCGGGGAAACTGGCAATATGGTGTCGGGCAAAATCCTTGGACGAACTAGGTACTGTCTTCATGGCCTATTCGCAGGGTAAACTGAAGAGCATAGACAATCTACTTGCTTGTGTCTCGCCACTACTATGTAATAAGTGGCTACCAAAGCATTCAGCTCTGGCTGTTGGGCATTTGCTTAATCTTCTAGAGAAGGGACCCAATGAATATCAGCGTGTTGTTCTTCTAATACTGAAGCAATTGCTTCAGCATATTCCCAAGGGTGCTGTTCAGAGTCCACATATGTATGCACTCATTTCCCAGTTAGTCGAAAGCACTCTGTGTTCAGAGGCACTAAGCGTATTAGAAGCTCTTTTACATAATGATGACTCTATGCATGTATCCCAGAACTACGAAAGCAGACTTGGTGGAACCGACGAGTCATTGTTGATGGCTCGTAGTGGACCATCACAACAGGCTATGGGCCTTGGGTTTGTCCCAGGATCCACATCGACTGTAAAAGCTACCCTAACTGAATCAGGTATTTCGCCTAAAGAGTTGGCTTTGCAGAATACTCGTTTAATCCTTGGGCGTGTGCTTGATAATTGCGCACTCGGGCAAAGAAGGGACTACAAACGACTGGTACCGTTTGTGACTACTATCAGCAACCCTTAACCTTCACACTTCTCTTTATTCAATGAATGAGATCATTATGGTTCATCGATTGATTCATCATGACAATTCACCAATAACACCCAAGTATGAGATTCAAGCACCTGGAAGCTGGATTGCATATAAATGAAGCTAGAATAGCGATTCTTTGCAAAGACTACCGACAGTGGTAGCTTAAATAGTCTTTGTATTGTAATAAAAATGCAGTTAAGTTAATTGTATTATAAAACAACTAATTGTGTTTTTCTAGCTTTCAATAATTTAAGATGAAATAATTTTGCCCAACCTTCTAATATACATATATGATTTGCATCCTGTTTGCTCTCTTTGAATAGTTCCAGATCTAGCAGTTATATTAGAAAGAAAAAGTTACATTGAACAAATACATATGTGAATTCCTGATCAGGCATGCCAAAGAAGGTAGACTACTCATCTGGTGGTTTTCTGCTTGGGAGAACTTGGACTCCCTACTCATCACTTGCAATGGCTGCTTGCTTAAGTAGGGTTATGTTCAAGGGTAAGAATATAAAGAGTTTCAAATACATGTCCCAATATCCCTTATTTCTTGTTCACTCTCTTGATGACGCATAAAACGTTGCTGGAGAGTTGAAGTTCTTCGCTAAGATGATGGTGAGAATTAGGATGTTGTGGTGTTAATTTCTTTTATGAGACATGGCTGGGTAAGATCAAATTTGCAAGAATCACAGAATGAGTGCAGAGGGAATCATGTTGTTTCTCCCTCTCGTGGTTTAAATATTATGAGTGCAGAGGGAATCATGCTATTTCTCCCTGTCGTGCTTTAATTATAAAGGCAAATCGTATTATAAATGCAGACGGAATCATAAACATAAATACAAGGATGAGATCCTTAATTTATCTTTAATCTCAAACCTACCCGACCCATAAATAAATACAAAGATGCATCTCAATCTCATTATAATATGCATTTGAGGAACTCTTTTCTCACGACCCCAACCCGACTCATAAATGCGTAAGGAAATCACATATGAAAAAACAACAGAGCTCAAAGATACTTTGGTTTGGAAGAAAGAAATTCTTTATTTATGTGTTGAAAATGGTTCGACTCCAAAAGAGAAGAAATAATTAATATTTGGTTTTTGAAGAAAAAGTTGCATCTTTTATTTTCAATGAAATGTGTTATAGCTCGTGGTCAAATTTGTCATCAATTAGATTTAAGTAATTCATGCATATATATTAATGAATTTTAATTAATTATTAAATTTCATCGTTAATCTGTCAGTAATTTAATCAAATTAGTTTCTATTTTTTTAATTTAAAAAATCACCAACGAAATATATTTAATTTTTAATTAAAATATATTTAATCAAT